CATCTTTCTTCCTTTTAGGGACATATTGGAGCACCGGACTTACTTTCTTGCCATAAGACGTAATATTCCCTCTATAAGATTTATTCACGTTGGGTTGTACCTCCTTACTAACAGCTTTGGCTTCAACAGTAGTCACCTCTTCTCTTTTAGTTGAGGTCTCTTTATTCTTGCTTTTCATGCCATCATTAGCTTTCAGCTCCTTCACAATACAGTTCTTCAAGTAGAACTTTGCATCGGCGAAGTGTGACTCAGCCTCGGTGAATGGCTCATCATCAGCAACTACCGTCTTCTCGACTCCACCCTCGTAGTATTTTAAACATTGATGGTAGGTAGATGGAACTACTTTATTCTCATGTATCCAAGGTCGCCCAAGAAAAACATTGTATGAAGTCTTCGCGTCGATCACATGCAGCCATGCACTTGATTGCATATCTTCAATAGTGATTCCCAGCCTGATCGCGCCTATGGCTCTTTGCCCCCCTTGGTTGAATCCTTGGATCATCACACGACTTTCTGAGAGTTCGTTCATGGGATACCAAGTTCTTTCACAGTGTGGATTGGCAAAATGTTCACTGAGGATCCTCCATCAACCAAAATCCGATTTACCCATTCATCGCGTATATAGCCAACCAGGTACAATGGGCGGTTATGAGGAGTGTCACCTAGCAAAAGATCGTCATTTGTGAACGTGACCTTTTCCTCACAAGCATTAACTTCTTGAGGAGTGGACTCGATGGGCTTTTCAGAAGATGGTGCCAACGGTAGGTCATCACTCTTTTCTTCCCCTTTGTCAGCATGGCAACAAGAGGCATCAATGCCCTCATGGGAAATCTTCGTGCGGAACCAACTCGGTAAAAACTCCTCCAAGGTCACTGGATTTTGTGGCTTTTGAGAATGGTGCATCTCCACTTTTGCTTTCTTCAAATGCCTAACTGGATTCCACCTCCTTGGTCTTTTCACCATCATTTTCCTTATTGGTTGTTCTATTAATTCCTTTCGTGGGCTCCTTTTGTGGTGCCTACGACGAGTTACCAATGTCCAACCTTCATCATCATCAGGTTGATTGACTTCAGCTTTGTCGCTCTCCAGTAATTCTTCATCTTTACTATCTTTAAAACCACATAATTCATCCGGACTGAATGAGCCAAAGGTGATAGAGACTTGGTTTGCACTTGCTTTCTCATCTTCAAGAACGATCTTCTTTTCGCGAGCCAAGTCCATGACTTTGTCCTTGAAGACAAAGCACTTCTCCAAAGGGTGGCTTACAAGTCGGTGATATTTGCAGTAATTTGGGTCATTTGTTTTCCCAACTTCATTTGGTCGCTTCATCTTCGGAAGCTCAATGAGATTTAACTCAAGGAGTTCTTCGAAAATGGCTGGCACATCAGAATCCAGGAATGGGTACGCTTTCTCCTGCATTTCTTTTAGAGTCAACTTTCCACTTGGCTTGTCTTGAAAGGAAGTGGATTTCATACTCTGCTTCTTGCTCACCTTCGTCGTGAACTTCATAGGTGACGTATTGACATTCATAGCTTCTTTGCTTTCAGACTTGGGCACGAACTTGCCCCACTTCCTGACTTCTTGCTTGTTATTCGCTTTGCGAGGTTCATAGATGGGCAGCCTTTCATTTCCAACGGAGGCCATGCTCAATTCCATGTCATGGGCACGAGTGGCAAGTTCTTCAAATGTGCCAGGCTTGATACCTTGCAAGATGTAGCGCAATCCCCAATGCATGCCTTGGATGCACATCTCTATGCCTGAAGCTTCACTAAGCCTGTCTTTGCAGTTGAGGCTTGCATTCCTCCAACGATTGATAAAGTCGATAACTGGTTCCCCCTTTCGTTGATGAGTATTTGTAAGTTCTATCATACTCACAGTACGTCTCGTACTATAAAAGCGATTGAGGAACTCTTGCTCTAGTTGATCCCAGCTATCGACAGATCCGGCCTCGAGGGCTGTATACCAGTCAAAAGCATTTCCTTTTAGCGAGCGGACAAACTGCTTGATAAGGTAATCTCCATAAGTCCCAGCGTTGTTTCACGTCTCCATGAAGTGCGCAAGATGTTGCTTTGGGTTACCTTTGCCATCAAACTGTTGAAACTTCGGAGGTTGATAGCCAGCAGGCATCTTCAACATATCGACCCTTGCAGTGTATGGCTTTGCATATGTAAGGGAGGATTTGGCAGCAACTTCGTATTTGTTCTTAGTGGTTCCTTTGATGAACTCCTTCAGTCGATCGATTGGAATCATCCCTTCAGATGAGACAGGGATAGCCTTAGTGGATGCTGCTTGTCTTGGGGAAGAGTCACTCTCTAGAACTTCTGGGAGCTTGCCGGGTGCATGGGTAGATTCTTCTTCCATCAAGATTCCCACCCTATCTGTTAGCTTGTCAATTCTAGCCTCTTGATTTTGCATGCATTTGGTCAAGCCAGCGATTGCTTCCGTCAAGTTTGCCAACTGCTCCTCCATAGATGAAGTGTTTGTCACCATGGCTTGCATGATTGTCGTGGATGGCGGAGAGTAGCATGGATTTTCACACAAATTGATCCTTTATTGGCTCACGCTATGTGGTGTAAGTGGGGAGGATCCATCACTTGAAACATCATCATCTTCCTTCACAGCAGAGTGCTTGGAGCCGGAGAGGTCAAGCAGAGCAAGAGTTTTCTTGATCTTTTCAGCAACACCGCTTTCTCCTTCAGATACGTTTGTGGAAGATCTTGCTCCTTTTGAGGATGAAGATCCGAAAACAGGGGTTGATGCGGACGGCACTTGGGGTGCTTGTTGTCCTAAAGAGATTGCTTTGCTCCTCGTAACTGGTTCGAAGCTTCCAAAGGTAACACCGAGGATGTTTTCCACATCAGCATAGAACCTGGAGTTAGTAGCCTTGGTGGAAGTTGAACTGGAATTGATTTTCTTTGAAGCCATTTCAATGTTCTTAGACTTTGTAGAGATTGTCCCACTGGGCGTGCTAGAATTTGCAGACAATAAATTTGCGTCGAGAAAACAAAATCAAGACCGAAAATTTCGCAACAATCGTAGTATTTTATTTCGAATAATATGAGTGTTACAATCTCTATGATTCCTCTGATTCTACTTTTCTAGTATAAATTCAAGGGCCTTTGAGCTTGATCTTGAATTTGAATTTGATTTATCCGTCGCGAACACTTTGATTGTTGCCACGAATTTTATCACGAACAAGTAGCCTTGATCTTGAACGCCTTGTATTTGATTTGACTTCGTTCTTGATCTTCAATACTTGAATTGTTCTTCGTTCTTGAGCTTGAATACTTGATCTGTTCTTCGTTCTTGAGCTTGAACTTGAACTTGATTGCTTCAAGCTTGAAACTTGTGGAGGAATTTGCAGCGTTTGATCCACGAGCTGTTTCTTGCTTCTTGTTATAACTTCTGGTCTCTTTTCTGGGTTATGAAGACCCCTATTTATAGTTGTGGAAAGGAGGAGTCATGATGAGAACAATCTGACCAATCAAATTGAAGTGTGACATGGCCGCATTTGATTGGCTAGAACATGTCACTTGTTCACGTGGCACGATTTCATTGGCCTTTCAATGTGACTGGGCATGCCTTGTCATTTTGACACGTGGCATGATCCTATTGGCTCTTCTGTTTGACTTGGCGTGCCACGTCATTTGACAGGTGGCACCAAACTGGGCCTCTAGGAAGATGTCATCATGGGCTTAATGAAGTGGGCTCATCACTTTAGCCCAATTAAATGGACTAGCCCAATGGATCAAGACTTATTTATTTAATCCATATATATTGGACTTATATAATTAATTCAATTATAGTAGCCCAATAAATTTATTTGATCTAATATATCTTGAATTTAAAATATAGTCCAAATTATTTTATGGATAATAAAATTTATATGCCTTCAACTATATTCCAAGTAAATAAATCACAAACTGCATAATGAATCTTTGAGGAAAGAAAAACTTGAATTCGTAAGTCTTGCTATGAAAAATCAAATTGTGTCCAACCTAACTCGCAACCAAAAAATAATAATCTAGTACTATCTTGTTCTATGTCACACCCATTATAAACCTCGAACCACTTACTTTCTCCACTCCTCCAAATTTCCGCTCTGTATCCATAATTTCACCTGCTCTGTGGTGAAATAGAAAAAGGAAAAGGGTTAAAAATAAATACAGGTGCTAACAATGTCATACATTTGCGTTTCTAGAGTTGAGAATATGTCTACGCATGCGTTGTTCATTTTTTTTGTTGCCTCTCTTACATCCGGAGGATGATATGAAATCAAATAGAAAGCTAAATTTATTGAAGAGTTTTATCAAACACGTCAACCAAAGGAGTGTACTCAAGAAATCAAAATAAAAAATTAAACTTTAGTAGCAAATGGACTGGCGAAGAACTTCAGCCAAGCCCTAATGTCTTTTTGTCAAGAAAATGCTACCGAACAAAAAGAATGTGTGATGACTTGCATGGTTAATTGAAAAAACAGAAAATTATTTTTTTAGTATTTCTGTATTTCTCCTTTTCTTATTAGAAAGTTTATATCTCAAACTGAAAGCCATGAGACTGAAAAACTCTAAAAGTTCACTAACTCAGCTTATACAATTCTTGTAGCCACACCCTTTGGTGTTCAAACGAAAATCATAAAGTTCAACTGTGTAGAAAAAGCAGAAAATTGCAAAAAGAACCCCTTGAATGAAAATAAACGAAAAGAATAAGAACTCACCAAAAAATAACCCAAGAAGCTACTGGAAGAAGAAGAACGACTGGAATAGAGATGACCAGAGAAAGGAAATTAAGTTGATTTCACATTACTATTACTAATAAGAAAGCCCAAATGGCAAATAATGCAATTTGTACTTTGTAGCAAGGAGAACACGTGTATGTCATTCAAGGTTAAAGGCACATTCACAATTTACCCATAATGCAAAATATATTATCGATACTACCCTTCGTCGTATTTGTGAACTTTCACTTATTATATAGTTACTAGATGGTTAGTGCTCGTGCTATGCACTGACATATGCTGGACAAAAGAGCATGAACTCAATAGTACATAGCAGACCTATAGATGCAACAACACTTGTACAAGAGAAGCATTCGTGACTTAGATGTGCAAAATAACTATAGCAAACAGAGGAAGCAAAGAAATAACAAGACAAAAATATACTCAATGAAAACATGGAAGATAAGTTAACTGCAATATTGCATCAGAAAAGTAGTTGCTCCATCAATACCATTAACCACCAGGATAATTTAAAGAGAATAGATAAAAAAAAAAACATAGCAACATTATACCACAACTTACTTAAGAATAGATCATGCCATTGTATGTAACTATTTTACACCATTTACTAGAGAAGAATTCTTCAACGGCCTTCTTTAAAATTATGAACTATACAGAATACCATCAGCTCCACCCAAGAAGAAAAATTGCATCTATATTCGGTATTGCATTTAATGCTTCATACCACAGAGAAGTTCTCGTCAGTTAGAACAATGAGATTTGGAACTTTGTGAAGTGCAGTAATTGTGTGCGTTGTGAAACAGATGGAGTCCTAACTTCTTCATGCTATAAGCATTCCTCGACCTAAATTTCATCAAGAGAGCGTAATCAATAATTGGTGAGGAACTATGCAGTATATGCAACATGTAAAGCAAGCTTACAAATAAACAACACCTTCAGCATCTAATCCTCACAATTAGCTCTGCTCCCATTCACTATTTATATATAATAATAGTATATGAATCATCTCATGTCCAAAAATAATGAGTGCGGATGAAAAAGAGAAAAATAGAAATGTATATTCTGTGAGCGCTACTGTGTTAAAACACAAATTCAGAAAAAACTGTTAGAAAAATAAAAGAAACTGGAAAAACAGAAGAGTTTGAGAAATATTCCGAGTCCATTAAATCCCATAAGGAATTGTATGATCCTCCTATCCTGTTCTGCCTTATGCATACTCTCCTTAGCCTCACACGAACAGTTGCAGGTACAGTGAGATTTAGCAGTCAAAGTATTGAGCTCCTCCCATAGCTTTTTCATTTTCGTATAGTAACTGGTAACGTCAAGTGATCCTTGAGACAGATCATTAATCTCCCTCTGAATTTGGTACAATTTTGTCCCATTTGTTTGGTCATATCGATCCTCAAGTTCTCTCCACAATTCAAGTGCATCAACTACGTACTCAACACTATCTGCAATTTCTTTGGTCAAAGAGTTTAAAATCCATGATGTGACCATGTCATCACACCTTTCCCATAAGCGAAAATTTGGAGAATCTAGATCTGGTCTTTTACACTCTCCGTTAATAAATCCTAATTTATTCTTCACAGATAATGCTCGCATCACACCTCTTCTCCATGACCGATAAACAAAGCCATCAAAAGGAGCAGGAACTAAAGTTGCCCCAGGATTATCAGATGGATGCATGTATAGAGGATTACTAATGTCAATGCCTGACTGACTCGGAGGTTCATTTACACTTGGTGCTGCTAGATTATCGTTCTCACCAGATGTCATATTTGTGATTTACAGAGAAATCTAAGGAATTTTGATAGCTAAAATGTAAGATGAATGCAATTCAACAATGACTCTCAGACAATTGTGAATTAGAAGTAAGAACAAAACCTGTCATCAAGCTACAACTCGAGATCTATGGAGAAGTGAATCTGCAGATGTGCAATTCAGTTCGAAACATCATCAACAGAGGGAGAACTGACAGATTTCGTGAATCGAATCCAAAATCGAAACTCCTCGCTCTGATACCATATTTGAATTGGTCAATGGAACAGTAATTGAGGTCCTACTGTTAGCTGAAATTGAGCTTCAATGGTGGTGAAGCTATGTTCTTCATGCCATGAGAGTTCAGAGAGAGAGAGAGGAAGATGGAAGAGAGGGGTCGAGAGAAAATTCCAGAATTATGTAATTGAATCAAATGAAAAATGAAAGTGAGTGAAGTCTCCACTACTATATACAAAACTAGGACTAAGCTGAGCTAAGACAATTAACTACTGCTAAGCTAATTGTACAACAGTGTACAGTTGTCATCACTAACAAACTAACTAACTAACTAAGTGGAATAATTAGAGTTCTTAACATGAATCTTTGAGGAAAGAACAACTTGAATTCGTAAGTCTTGCTATGAAAAATCAAATTGTTCCCAACCTAACCCGCACCAAAAAATAATAATCTAGTATTATCTTGTTTTATGTCACACCCATTATAAACCTCGAACCACTTACCTTCTCCACAACTCCTTCAATTTTTCGCTTTGTATCCATAATTTCACCTGCTCTATGGTGAAATAGAAAAAGGAAAAAGGTTAAAAATAAATACAGGTGCAAACAGTGTCAAACATTTGCGTCTCTAGAGTTGAGAATATGTCTACGCATGCATTGTTCATTTTTTTGTTGCCTCTCTTACATCCGGAGGATGATATGAAATCAAATAGAAATTTAAATTCATTGAAGAGTTTTATCAGACACGTCAAGACCAAAGGATTGTACTCAAGAATTCAAAATAAAAAATTTAACTTTAGTAGCAAAGGGACGGGCGAAGAACTTCAGCCAAGCCCTATCTTTTGTCAAGAAAATGCTACCGAACAAAAAGAATGTGTGATGACTTGCATGGTTAATTGAAAAAACAGAAAATTATTTTCTTAGTATTTCTGTATTTCCCCTTTTCTTATTAGAAAGTTTATATCTTAAACTGAAAGCCATGAGACTGAAAAACTATAAAAGTTCACTAACTCAGCTTATACTATTCTTATAATCACACCCTTTGGTGGTCAAACGAAAATCATAAAGTTCAACTGTGTAGAAAAAGCAGAAAATTGCAAAAAGAACCCCTTGAATGAAAATAAACGAAAAGAATAAGAACTCACCAAAAAATAACCCAAGAAGCTACTGGAAGAAGAAGAACGACTGGAATAGAGATGACCAGAGAAAGGAAATTAAGTTGATTTCACATTACTATTACTAATAAGAAAGCCCAAATGGCAAATAATGCAATTTGTACTTTGTAGCAAGGAGAACACGTGTATGTCATTCAAGGTTAAAGGCACATTCACAATTTACCCATAATGCAAAATATATTATCGATACTACCCTTCGTCGTATTTGTGAACTTTCACTTATTATATAGTTACTAGATGGTTAGTGCTCGTGCTATGCACTGACATATGCTGGACAAAAGAGCATGAACTCAATAGTACATAGCAGACCTATAGATGCAACAACACTTGTACAAGAGAAGCATTCGTGACTTAGATGTGCAAAATAACTATAGCAAACAGAGGAAGCAAAGAAATAACAAGACAAAAATATACTCAATGAAAACATGGAAGATAAGTTAACTGCAATATTGCATCAGAAAAGTAGTTGCTCCATCAATACCATTAACCACCAGGATAATTTAAAGAGAATAGATAAAAAAAAAAACATAGCAACATTATACCACAACTTACTTAAGAATAGATCATGCCATTGTATGTAACTATTTTACACCATTTACTAGAGAAGAATTCTTCAACGGCCTTCTTTAAAATTATGAACTATACAGAATACCATCAGCTCCACCCAAGAAGAAAAATTGCATCTATATTCGGTATTGCATTTAATGCTTCATACCACAGAGAAGTTCTCGTCAGTTAGAACAATGAGATTTGGAACTTTGTGAAGTGCAGTAATTGTGTGCGTTGTGAAACAGATGGAGTCCTAACTTCTTCATGCTATAAGCATTCCTCGACCTAAATTTCATCAAGAGAGCGTAATCAATAATTGGTGAGGAACTATGCAGTATATGCAACATGTAAAGCAAGCTTACAAATAAACAACACCTTCAGCATCTAATCCTCACAATTAGCTCTGCTCCCATTCACTATTTATATATAATAATAGTATATGAATCATCTCATGTCCAAAAATAATGAGTGCGGATGAAAAAGAGAAAAATAGAAATGTATATTCTACTGTACTTCAATACATATAACTGCTTATGAATCTTGTTGTGCTAAAGTGAAACCAATAACTGACATCAAGAAGCCGAAGAAATATGAAAATTAATGCGGCAAGTTACGGTAATTCAAGAGAATTTAAAAAATAAAAGAGTTAAAAAAATTAATCAGCAACAACATTCTCTTTGTTTCTTAAGGAATAAGGAGAAACCTAAACAATAGTGTAATCAATGATAAGCATTACTCAATATGGTAGTGCCATTATTATATTCTACGTGGCAAAGATTGCTTTAGGAGTTTCCATGTTCTCGGATCAAGTGTGCAAGGAATGTCACTAGGATGGGCACATTGCTTTAAATATAACAAAGATAACTGATTACCTATATAGATTGGGCTACTTTTATTAAGGTAGTGTAAACATAAGTGATTACCTATATGGATTAGAGCTTCTTTTAATCCATTTTTTGGCAACTCCCTTACTACCAACTAAATCCAACAGCCAAAGCTTTCGTGCATCAACATTTGATCAAGTTCTTAGCTTTATCATAATACAAAACTTGCTGAACATGTGAAAAAAATTAGCGGAAAAGGTTGTCAGTTAGTGTAACAAAATTGGTCAAAAAGTGGAATAATGAGACAATTAAATTCTTAAGTATTACAACATGCTCAGAATGTTGCCTCAACAACTCACAATTTAGAAATTAGCTTTTATAATTGCTCTCATACAGTAGTTATATGACATATAAAGTGAACATCTAGATATTTACAACTTGACAGGAGTGATCGATCTTATCCAAGTTCCATTTTAGTGATCTTTACTCTGATTGAAGTACTAGGAAGTCTTTGACTCCGTGACCAAAAAATACAGGTATCGCATAACAGACAGTTGATATGCATCATGAGTAATATGACTTAATTAGATTTTTTGTTTGTGCAAAAACTTTCAGTTGCTACAAAGATATGACCTATATATTACTGGTTCTTTAGATCCAGATAATGCAAAGTGAAAGGCAGGTAGATACAAAATTAAGCTACAACAAAATGAGTCTCCATCTCCTTTATGCAAAAGTAAATCAAACTCACCATAGTATTTTCAAAAAGTATGTTCGATGCACATTTGGCCTTGAGGTCACAACCATCAATTAGTTACATTGAAATTCTCCATATTGACATCCTTAAAAGCTTGTACATCACCTTGACCTTCAGAATGTGTATATACAGGTTTTTATCATAATTGGATAGGAAGGATATCAAACTTGATTATGATAATTAATACCTCTTCAAAATAACTCTTGACACCACTTTTATCTCGTGTACATGTCGTAACCTCAAATTCAGAACTTATGTGCCTGCCTATATCAATTAGAAAAAACCAGTTATGACGAAGAGATCAATATGAACCAAAATCCAGAAAGTATCAATTCAATTAAAATGGTTAATTTAGCTTGCTAAATTCAACCATGTTAAGCATTAGTCATATAATTCTCATACAAATTATTGTTGTCTTGAGACCCAGTTAAGTCTTTAAAATCAGAATTTATTATCTTTCTGCTAATGTTTAAGAAAAACTAAAGTAATACTCATTATTTTCCAACTCTGAGGAAGAACATAGGTGAGTTGCCAAAAGGCGACGAATAATATTTGCAAACATGTGTGCATTAATGCTGATCTTTTAGAAGTTTTTAAATCATAGAGGCTTTAGGTACTTTAGATGTGTTCCCTTCTAAGTACAATTGATTGTCAACAATTGGCACAAAATAGTCAATAGGACACATGCATGTGCAAAATCTAATATAAAGAATTTATACTTCCACAAAAAGAAATTTTATGTTTTAAGTGATAGTATACTACTGTATGAAACTTCATATAAAATCTTTTGAACCAAAGGAAGCCAAAAGTTGTTGCACACCAATGAAGTATAGTAATTACTTCATATTTTCTTTATTGCCAAAAGAAAGTGTTTATTTTAATTTGATTTCTTCGGTGCTAATCTCCCATGGTAAATTGGCTTGTATTATTCATTATAAAAGAGCTCGAGTTGAAACACAACATAGAAAGCTATATTTTAAACGTTAATAATGTGAAAATAAAGTGCAGAATTATCTCTCATGATCGCAACAATGTTCCTCTTTCCCCCAGAAGCAAGTATCACTTTCTTACCTGTACAATCAAAGTTGTTCGACCATTACATTCCAACTAATATAATGAAATTTTTTCAACTATACATTCCACAACCTGAGTCATAAGACCAATCGTTGTCTTTCTAATATAGCGAGATTTCAACTTTACTTTTCAGCTTATACAGGTTTTGCATTAACCAAAAATCTTACCTTCTAAAACCATGTTAACCTTCTTTCTTTACTACTAATTCAATTTCTATTTAGTTTCACTAAATCATAACCAGATAGATAAATCACGAGATCTACCCCAACAACTGTAGAGAAGCTAATTCACAGAAGCTTAATATAATGATAAATCATTGCATGTATTGGAAAAAAAACGCAGAGAGCACATCTAAGATTGAAGGACAAAAGTAACAAACATGAAACCATTTTCTCTATATTTT